ATTTTTTTTCTCCATTATTTCAACAATATTGTTTTAAAAAGCAAATAACAAGTAAGAACATTTCAATAACTATTTGCCTTCCAAGTCTCAACAAAAGCTCACCGAAATCTCGTAAAGAAAATAAGGAAGATGAGAGAATTCAGGAAATTAATCAAGGGTTTTAATAATGAAAAGAAAGGAATGAAGCATGAAAAATTTATACACTTTATCAGCACAACTATCGAGAAGCACGAATGCTTTCTGCTCTTGAATCACATCTGAAAAGTGATAATATAAATTCTTATCTCATATTACACATCGCCGATATATATGAAATAAAATAAAATTAAGTTGAAATGCCTGAAATGTTTGGAATGGAATGAATAATGAGAAGGGAGAAATTCCAAGTGACAATGAAAAACATGCAATAATAAAAATCTCTGTTGCTTTTGTTACAATTTTCCTACCACATTGACATCTTTTTCGAGTCTATTTTCCTTTCTTTTACATCCTCAAACGCAACATGTAAATTATGCCAACCTTAATTTTTATCAATCTACTCATCTCCAATGGTTTTATCAGTGTCAATGCTTTTCATGCTCTTATTCTTCGATACACACATTTTTTTTCATCGAAATGGATGGGAATCCATTTGCAAATAATGATAAGCGAAAGAAACGCGAAGATAATCACTACACTCAGCCTTTTAAGTTTTTTGCAATGAATAGCGAATTTAAAAATGTGCTAAACATTTGTTATAAATTATTAGACCAAATCATTGTTATGATGCGGAATAGGATGCATTAAAAATATTATATTCTATGGACCTACATAGTTCATATAGATACATACAAACTTCCTGGTTTTTAATGAACAAAAAATAATTTGTCATAAAGATTTTAAAAGTTTATAAGAATCAATTAAATCTATGACATGATTGTAATATTTAGAGACAAGAGCCTGATATGCTGAATATTAAAGTTTTCAAATTTCTAACATCACATACAGGATCAAAAAAGCTATACTTTCATAATAGAAATACTTGGCTTTTTCAAAAAATGTAAGACATCATGATTTAATCTAGAAAAGGGGATCTGTAATAAGGAGGTCTTGATTTTAAAGTTTCTAACAATCATCTTTCAATTCCCCCTAAAATCGCTTCCCTGAAGAATTAAGTTATTGCCTATATATAAGCATGCAACAATTACAAAACATTAAAGTTTAATAATCTGCGTGGAAGTTAAGCGAAAAGCATCAAAAATGACCAATATGTATGGACCAGAACAAGTTATTTATGTATTCTGTGCTGGTAACTCATTAGCTCATTTGTTCCGTTTTGCTATGCTCAAATTTTCCTCAACAGCCAAAACAGTATGAATAAAATGAGAATTCTCTTCGTTCTTCACTTTTTTAAGGCAAAAAGGTAATATCGTGCTGCTTCTTATCTCGTTGAAAATTCCTTAATCATCACAAAAAGCTAACAGAAGAAAGAGCAATAAAGGAAAGAGCAACAATGGAAGTGCCATGTTTTCTGGGATGGTAATTATTGCAATTACGAACAGGAAGAATGTGTAGATGTGTGAAAAATATAAAGGTAAAAGCCAACAAGCTGAACGTGATGAGAATCTGAATTTACTAAATTGGCATTAGTTATTGATTATATTAGGAATAACAAAAACAAGTTTTTCTATTTTTATGTACGACTAACATTTGTTACTGTTCTGTTCCTTTGGTTAATTTGATTATAACATTTTTGATGAAAAACTTTTGCATTCACGAATAGCTTTCCTATTTTATTGTACATTATGGCATAATTAGATTCAAAGTTTTCAGAAAAGTTTGAAAATTTGCCTTCCTTAACTTTTTTTGATGCTACCAAGTGTGTGGAATTTTTAAGAGACGATCTTTTCTAAAATTGACATAAAATATTCATTTAAGCTTTTTCCTGTTCATGCATATTTGAAATTAAGTGCTGAATATCGTCAATTTTCAGAGTTTGAAAATAAAATGAAAATTGCTCTATTTTGAAAATAAATCAAAATGAAAATTATGAAAATTGCCAATTTTGATCAAAGCAATTTTGCAATTTTGTCAATTTCAGAAAATTGCAATTTTGGAAATTGTTTATTTTCCAAAATTGCAATTTTGGAAATTATCGATTTTTATTTTTGTGACGTCATAAATATTTGATGAATAATTTTGTATGAAAATTTTCTTCTTTTTAAATGAATTTTTTCTTCAGAAAAACAAAAGATACAGTTTATTTCCTGGATGTTGATATTCGTTTTTAACTTAATACTTGCTAATTCCTGCGTGTTTGATGCGTTGTTCCTTTAAGTTTATTTTAAATTAAAGGTACTCATAATGCTCATAATCATAATTTTTGAATGTCAAAACATTATTTCATTAATATCTATGATATTTCACATGCATTGTGTCGTATCCAACTGGTTGGAACTGCAAAAAATTTTTTTAAAATGTTTAACACTTTTAATGAAGGTTTACACACTTTTAAGGCATGGAGTTGAACTAAGCACTTCCGTTACTTCTAGACTTAATTTTCAAAACTATTTATGTCACGATTATTCAAGAAAACTGGAAATTAAGCAATAAAATGCAAAAACATCAAAGTAAAACAAATCCTTTATTTAATAATAAATCATCTTGTTAATTGAGTATCAGCAATGCTGCATCACCAGACATGATTATCAAAGAAAAAATTCATTTCTGAAAATGTATGAAAAACATGTTCGATGTAAATTTTATTAGGGGAGAGGAACTGCTGAATTTTCCGAACTTTTTTGCTAACCTGATTTTTTGGAACCTCCCTGGTATAGTTAGCACCTAAAATCAGATCTGGAAGTAGAGGAAGTGCCTGGTTCCACCCCATGCCTGAAAGTGTCTAAAAAGTATAGAAAACAAATAAAATTTTTTTTGGCAGTTCCAGTCAGTTGGACATAACCAGTTCCATATGGGATATCTCATATAGCATAGTACTTATGATTCGTTATTAATTTTCATCATTTGCTGCTATGATTGCTGATAATGATTTTGATTAAAAATCAAGGAAAGTCTCAAGCATAAAGTCATCAATTCATATGAAAATTTTCATACAAAATTCCCGAAGAAATTTTGTGACGTCACAAAAATAAAAATTGATAATTTCCAAAATTGCAATTTTGGAAAATAAACAATTTCCAAAATTGCAATTTTCTGAAATTGACAAAATTGCAAAATTGCTTTGATCAAAATTGGCAATTTTCATAATTTTCATTTTGATTTATTTTCAAAATAGAGCAATTTTCATTTTATTTTCAAACTCTGTCAATTTTAGATTTCTTAGATATTTTTATTTCAAAAATTGCTGTTGGATGATGAGTATTTATAAACTCAAATATCTGGCGAAGTTTAATAACCTTACATTTTATAAATTCTTGAATTTAAATATAAAACACTTTAATTTTAATTTCAAATTTTGAAAAAACAACGATTTATTGATTTTCATTTTTCATTCGATTGAAATTTCTTTCTTTTGAACATAATAAGGAGGACTATAATTTTTTTAGAATGATTAAACCTAATAATCAGAACACTTCTTTTCGTCAAATATTATCATTAAGTTTGTGTTCTAGATTATTTTACAATAAATTGTTACTTTTTATAATATTTTCTATAAAAATCACAACAAAACAAGCTAAACAAATTCGATTCTGAAGCATATCGCACACGAAATTAAAAATTAATCAAAAATGATCAATGACTACATATTTATTGCTTTTTAATTTATCGTTCAAGATTGATACTCGATTTAATTCTAATGTTTTTGTTGAGAATTTATTTTTGAAATTTTACTTCCATAATTAACAGAGCTTTAAGTTTACAAACTTTTCTATCCAAAACCAAACAAGATCATAAACTTCGAGCTTTGCTAATTAACGTTAGTGATAAAATCAAAAATAATTTTGAGGTCGTTAATTTGATGTTTAATTTTAAAAAGAAGTCTTAAAATTCCAATGTTCGATGAACGACCTGTTTAAGGAAAGGTACGATTTACTATACACTACCGACATTATTGTCTTTTTTTATTCATCAACGATTAGCATAATGCTTTCCATAAAAATAATAAATTCACATAAATCAAGTTATTGCACTTTAAAGTACTTTAATGATCATTCACTGCCATTATGCTGAAAAATTGTATATGATTTTCAATCATAAGAAGCAGTGTAACTTCAAATAAATAAGATCATAAATTTTAAGCACAGATGATTCTCGGCTATCACATTAAAAATCATTCTGCATCCTATCGTTTAAGAGATTTTAGTTTTCGAGTATCAATCTCTTCTTATTGAGATTATCTAAGAGCTCTCTATACAGAACTCATGATTTTATCGTTATAAACATAACATGTCACTAATAAATATCAACAAATAAAAATAAATATAACAAATCTATTTTACTAAGGAACAAACCAGATGTTAGATAAGGAAAAAAAGAGATTTTAAAGACTAAAAAATTTCAAATATTTATATTATTGCTACCTTTTTTGTTTGTTGTCTCATTATTGTTGCTAATTTATAATAATAAGTCTAAAATCGTAAGGTATTATTAATCGTAAGTTATTCATTCACTAATTTCAATAATTAAACCCGCTAAATATTCATGTTTTTTTTCTGCGATTATCAATTATTAATTATCATTATTTAATATTATTATTGTTGTTATTATCTTATTTAAAATAATAAAGCATATAATTTAAGTATCGCTGAGCAGAGCAATGATTCATTTGGATTTGATAAAGTCATTCAATCAGACAATATAGGAAATTCTAATTTCATACAAAATAATTTTCGCTAGTCTTTTTATTTGTTTTTCAAAAACTAAGGAACTTGATAAGATATACGAAAATTATAATCTTTGTGGACTTTTTGCTATGTTTTTTAATGTTAAATTTTTAACAGATTCTTTTTTAAATTTGAAATTAATTTTCAAAAAAGATTTTAAAATTAAAATAATTTTTATGTATAAAATCTGATTGAATATCCAGCACATCTCAATCACGTTTGCTCTATTTATTTAACGACTTAATATTCTATCAAATCTTGTTGAGATCACGCACTGCGTAAAATTCAAATAGAAATCCTCAGTATTCATAAATACTTCACATGAATTCGCTAATGTGTGTCTAATATTTTTCCATATAATCAACACATTAGCCGGTTTGTATGAAATTAAATTCATATATTGTCACGACATATTTTTTTTTCTCACTTGTCACTCGTTATATTCAGTTATTTGCACTGCACAAATAACTCAATCAAAAAAATTTTGAAATCTTATTATCATCATAATTACATGCGGTTACGAGTTTAAGTAAACAATGTTAGTTATGGAGTCATGTCGTCATCTTGCAGCGAATCACTGAATTCAATCAATGAATTAAAGACATCTGGATCTGTCTTTGATCTTTTTAATAATATGTCATCATCCTCGATATCATCAATCTCGTACTTTCTCTTAAGCATGGCATTTTCCACTTTCAGTTTATCATTCTCATCCTGAAGTCTGCTTATCTGCTCGTGAAGCATCTCTTCACACGAAGACTGTCGTTGCTCTTTGATTATTGTTTTTAAGTGAGAGATATACTCACAGGCCTTAAACGAGATAAAAAAATAATAAAATAAAGTTTATTGCTTATTACTATTATCAGTTCGTATAATCAGTGTTGCTGCTTATGGGCAGCTTAGCCAAAAAAATTAAGGGGGAGAGCGTTAACATTTGGGGGATGGGGTGCTATTTTTTTGAAACCTTATTAAATTTAAGAATTTTACCATCAAAAAGGATTGACCTTAAAATGAATTCAAACTTCTTCAAGAGTCTTATTTTTTAAAAAAACGTCATTTGCGAATAATTCTTCGTCACATTGTTTATTATAATTGTCAAATATTTAAACGTTTGGCAAATGATTAAACAGCCAGGTATTTTTGAAAATAAATATTATAAGCCATAGACCGCATTAAGCAACTGAATCGCATTAATGTTTAACGAACTTCTTATCATAAACTACACATAATGGAATGCGGCACAAAAAACAAAAGAATCACTAATTTGCATTGCTGTTATCTGAATGCTCGTATTGTCTATGAACACATGTAGCAACACTGTCAATACATAAAATAGCATCATACATGCTTCTGTCTTACCTTCTCAAGAATTCCACCTTTGCTTAATGCTTCACCATTCTTTGAGTTATTTGAATTTATATTGTCATTGTCATCATCACTATTGTCATCTATGATTTTTCCTAGTTCCATAATCCAATTGTTAATTTTCTCCCGTCTGGCTCGTTCAATTTGATTGTGCTGAAATCGTCTGTAGTCGTCTCGCTGTACGACATTAAAGGCAATCACAGTAAAGTGTAAGGAAAAGAAGATGATAATAGATTGATACTTATGCATGCTATTTTTACACATAAAATATTATTATTATATTTAATCAATTCCACTTACCCGAGTTTTCATTTTCTTCTCATTTGATACTACATTTTCAGTTGACACTTTAACTACTGATACGGCTTGATTATTATTAACTTTTTGTACTCTAGCAATCGGTTCTGGATTTTGCTGCTTTATAAGGACGACTGTTTGATTTGCATTATTTGCAATTTCAGGAACTCGAATAAAACGATAAATCGTTCCGGTTTTTTGTGTTTGAGACGTCATGTAATTGTGTGATCTTTAAATAAATTGTCATAAATTGCGATACAACGAATAATTTTTAGCCGTGAATACACTCACTTACCTTTTTTCGTTTTTCTTTTCTTTTTTTTGAAAAAAATTTTTTGAGAAATTCTTAGTTTACGTTCTTAATTTAAAGTTATTGAAAGAAATTTTCGCTTCGAGATTCCTTAATCACAGTCACTTAATATATTCTGTTATCATTTAAAAATTCATTTAATTAATTTATGTTTAATTCACTTTATTCATATTTTTTTAAAAAATTTTTTTTTCTTGTCAATATAAAGTGAAGGGGGTTCATAAATTAAGTGAAATAAAATTTAAACTTTTTTGTTTTTCAAATTATTAAAGAAGCTTTTTACTGAACTTTTTTTATTTTTACTTCCTTGAATTCTTTTCTGAATATCACTTAAGTTAATTATATGATTTGCTAATCGCACTCCTTAATCAGTATAATATCATGTTAACATTCTAAGATTTTCTAATAAACAAATTGATTAATAATAGCAATAAGTTGTAAGAATACAAGAGAATCTCAACTTGTAAAGGCAAGCATGCGTATGGGCCCATTTATTATACACCAAAGAATAAATTGAAACTTTTTTTCTCCCTTTGATTTTATCATCGATTTTTCAGATGAACTAAGAGAAGAAAAAAATTTTTGAACAACTTTAAAGAAATAAAAAGTTTAAATTCAATTCAATTAGTTTTAAAAATTAAGAATAAAAATTGTAGAAAGTTAATTAAAGTCAATTTGAATTAAGTGTGAAATATAGAAGTCAATCGCATAAAAAAGAAGAAATGAAGAACTTTCAATATTGGAATTTATGGCATGGATTTGCAGTATTAGGTAATGTCATTTGTACCTTTTGTCTCCTTCTAATGTTATTATGATCTTCTGATAATTATTCTAATGATCTTCCTTTAATTTATAAAGGTTTATTGATACAAGTGACATTAGCACTTCAACTGGAAGGTCTCGTCACGAAAAAACCAAGAGTTTCAAAATATACCATGAAACCTCAGGCAGTAAGTTTCACAATTTATTTATTAAAATATTTCAATTAAATTCAAAAATTGCATTTCAGCCAACATCCTCACCTTCATCTCTTTCCTTTTATCGTGTCAACACAACAAGTGGCAATACATGCATTCTCATCAGAACAGATGGGCTCCTTAGTATTCAATATCGTGATAAATTGAATGAAGACAAAGAAGCTGACGTTTATCTACCAGACAATCCAACACTTTCAGGTATTTTTTATCAACGAAAAATGTGGGTCAAAAAGTGACAATCCAAAATATGGAGTAAATGAGTTAAGGGGAGGCTCAATAATCACCTTTTCGATATTCATTAATGAGCACTTGTTAATATTGATTGAAAAAATTTGAGGCTTTAAAAATTAAAATAAATGTTTAAAGCAACAAAAGTAATCAAAATCAAATGTTTAATTAAACGCAGAAAGAAATTCAGCAATTTATCCTTGAACGATTCGTGTCAAATTTAGAAAGCCAATATTCCAATAGTGCTACCTAATTACATTTACGTCTATCTTCTTATCAATGAAAGTCACGACATAAGCTTCAAAATTAATATTTTTTTCTTTGTTTTATTTAATAAAATAGGTACTTGCGATAACTCTGATGAGTCATCGATAACAATGTCTTTTAAGGGTTTTGTCCTAACAATGAGATTTGAGAAAACACCAGGTAACGTTTTTCATTTTTACAGTCATTAAATGCACAAAATTTCTAGGCAATGTTGTGCTTAAAATTTAACATGATAATAAATTGTGTGCAATTTTTGTTTTTAAAAGTTTAAAACTTTAAAATATATTCAATATCTAACAGGTGGTGAAAGATGGTTTGTGAACTACGTCGAAATTACATATTCATCATCAAATCCATTACTCGAGCACGTTGATCGACCCAATCTTAATGTAAAATTAGCAACACCACCAAAAACTTTTCTCTTTCCAACGCCAATAGGGAAGTCATTTGAATGCATGCAAGAACAGACGATTGTGATGTACGCGCAGGTAAAAGAATTACAATTTACTTTTTTTTACTATAAAAATTGCATCAATGAGTGGAGTTTGGATGTTGTTGATGTTGATTATTTTTTTATGCATTATAATGAGAGGAAAAAAAAAAGAAATTTACATCCAGAACATGAAAATCAATAATATCATTCTTTTCTCACCACGAATAGGATGAGAATGACAAATCTGGACATTTAGCGAAACTATTTTTACGTGATACGCGCTTGCAGGGATTTATGTATAAAGCTGCTGGACAGTGGGGTGAGTTTTTATTGATTCTAAATTTGGTTTAAACTTAAAATATCCTTAAAAGAATTAAAAGCTTATTAAATCACTTAAAAAAATTCTTTTCATTCAACAGGTCCACCGTACGTGTGTTCTGCAACAGGAACATATCGCGATGAAAGTGCACCATTTTATCTGGGAACAGTATTAGCAGTTGCATGCATCATTACAGTTGCAGGTTACGGAATTTGGCGTTATATGAAAGTAAAAAAATATCAGTACGGTACAATGGCTTAAATCATCAAGCATTAAGATGTAGAGTACCGTTGTATACATGCTTCTTTAAACTGAATCACATTTATCTGCAATTAAGAAGAAAAAAAAAAAAACATTCAAATTTTTGCCAAATTTCTTATTGTATCAGCAATTTTTTTCTCGTCTTTGTGCAATTGATGACATATTTTACACACATACACACACATTTTTCTCAAGCAAATTAAGAATATATTCAAAAAAAAAGTAATACTTCTGAATCAATTAAGGAAAAAAATTAAGCATATCAATTATGATGATATTAGTAACAAGTTAAATTTACGAATGAAATGAGCAAATTAATGAAAAGTTATAAAAAATAATTATGAAAAGTTGAGGTTTAATTAGTCAGAGAAATTGATGAAATGATATGAAAACAGTCTTCCATTTTAAGCTAACAAATGATATTAAAAAAAGATTATATTATGTGCGCATTTAAAGTATTTACTAAACAAAAGAATATTAAGATATAAAAATATGCTAAGTTATTTACTAAATGTCTTTTAAGGAGTTATATTATTAGATGACTAACTTATTGATAGTTAAAATACGTTTTTGATTTGTTTAATTTTCAAACTTTTTTCATTTTCAATTCTTTTTGTCCTGTTAAAGTAAAGAAAGTCTATTGAATCTACATTATAGAGAGAGTATATATGACATAAAAATGATATTTAACTATGAAAATCTCTATCTCAACCAAAACCGCCACTATAAAAGATTTCAAAGTGATAAACATGAATTAAAATAATTAAATCGTGTAAAAAAGGAATGGAAACGTTGTTCTTTGGCAAACTGAAACTATTTAAATTAAATGCACAATCACTATTTTGGATTTGAAATAAATCAAGGATGACGTTCAATGGATTCATTAAGTTCTTTTAAACATTCAAATTTTAAATTTTTTAAAATTATAAAAGTTAAATCTTAATTTTTTAGAATTATAAAAGTTGAATTTTAATCAAAGAATTGAAAATAAACTTACAAAAGCAAACATTATTAATAAACATATTTAATAAATTTAACAGTCATTCAGTTTGTCAAGAACAATCGTTTAACAAAATTGCGAATTTAGAAAAAAGGATGTAAATCACAATGATAAGGCAAAAAGTTCTTGTACTCAAAGAAGAAAAAAGAAAATAAAGAAAAATTAATGTGTTTGAAATTTAAAAAGTTTGTTCAATTTTATAGCAATTTGCTTATGGAATCGATTGTTACCTTAACACTATGATTGCCTGGTTGTCATAGAATTGTTTAAGAATAGATCATAATATCAAGAAGTTGATAGATGGTTTGATAATGATGGTTTGATAGTGTCTTCAAAGAGTCTGGATTATCTTTAAGGATTTAACGTTTTCTATATAATTTGTAGGCTTCACTTTGGATTTGACCTATTCAAATCAATCAAATACCGATTTCCTGAAATGATATCTTCTCAATGTGGTGCATCATCTTCGTTTAAATTCGCTGAAACCCATACTGAGATCGCAGAAATAAAGTCATCCAAATATGGAAAAAAAAAATATCAATCAAAAAAACTTCAAATTTTTTCCAAAAAAATCCTTTTTAAAATTAGAAATGTCAAAAGTCCTCTAAAATTGAGGGAATTTTGAATAATACTAGATAGAATTTGAACATATTTATCCAGAAAATGGAAATCTTTTCTGAAAATTGTCATTTCAAATGCTTACAACCTTCCAAAATTACATTCATTTAAATTTTTGATTCTTTCAGTGTGCTTTTCAGCGAATTCTTCGTTCAGTTGGTTCAACTTGTATTTTCGTGAAAAAATTGGTAAAAACAACTTTATAATATTTATTTTTTTATACTCTTGTGTATTTTTATTTCAATTTTTTTTAACTTAAAAATTTTTAAGTAAAGTTTTTTCATGTAAAATTTTTCAATATTAATTCCTACGTTCAATTTTTTTTTTCATTTTTTTATATCTTTCACAATTAAGTGTAAGTTTAATGCTGATTGCGAAAAAATAAAGTGACAGAAACTTTATTAAATGGAGAAGGATTTTAACTTAAATTTCGATTTTTTAAAATAATGTAAATTAATAAAGAATTTCTATTCTTTTTTGTGTGATTCTTTTTCCTTCTTCACTTATTATGGTTTTTTTTGCAAAATTATGAGGTATTTGATTCTTTTCTATCATGTTTTTTAATTAATTTACGTCTTGCTATCTTTTTTACTTCCTTCCACTTTCCATTTTAATTTTTTTTTTGTATCCATCAATCAGAAAAATAATAAACAAAAACATTACAGTTCATCCGAATGAATTGGAGGATGGTAATTATAAAAGAATTAATTAATAATCTAACTGGCTTAATCAGTTAAAAGAACCTTTCTTTTATTATTTCAGAATTCTTTTGTTTCCTCATCTTTCATTTCTATTTTACAGCAAAAAATTAATTTAGAGATTTTTTTAAGTTCTTCCTGTTCTAAATGTAAGGTTGGTTTTCTTTTCATCATTTTTACATTTTTTTTTTTGATGAGATGTTGGAAAAATTCTTTGGAAATGATTTCATTTTTAAACTTTTTAAAAGAGTTTCTTTCATTAGATTTATAAGTAATATTAAAGTCTCCTTATTCCATGGATGACTAAAGCTCGTTTTTCCAGTGAATTATAAAGTTTTCAAAATATGATTTTTAATTGTTCAAAATCTATTTTATGTTTAATATTTAAAGGTCACTGATACGAGCAATTCGATGGTTTCGACCGTTACAGTTTCCAAGGAAACTTGTGGAAATGTCTTATTTGTCTGTCTGCTATGCAAAATTCGAAGTTTCATACCCTGCTGTTCGAAATTTTCGAAAATTACAAAAAAATAAAAACTTGAATTACGCCAGTTTTATATGAAATTTAGATGAAAATATTGTTAAATCATATAATAATAAGCATAACATAGCTAAATCTCTTTTAAAACCATCAAAAACTCTAATAAAATCACCAAAATTGTAACGGGTTTTTTTAAATTTAAATTTTTCGAATGTGCATATTACAACTCCCCTAGACTTTCGATAAGTCTGTCGAACATGAATTGTTCGTATCAGAAAGGTCAATTCAAGAATAGAAGAATATCTATCCAAAAATTGAATCTTCACTCATGACAAAGCATAAATTCTTCATTATTGAACATTTTTAAGAGCAATATGATCTTAAAAGTTTATTGTGACAAACACGTTCAAAAATTTCATAAATTGGTATTTTTAACAAATAATAAATCTAATCTCCGAATGCTCTCCTTGTGAGTAAATGTATGAAACGATCGCCGAAAGTTTAAAATTTCATTCATATCCAAAGAATTTTTGCCCATCGCATCCTTCAATATCATCTACTGTTTTTTGTATAAAATACTTTACGTTAATGTGACAAAAAATTACTTGAACGAAGATCATCATGAGTAAATTCGAATTAAGGAAGTTTTCGATTTTTTTTAAACTTTAGAAATGTTCCTTAATTCAAAATAAGAATTTGTGAATGATCATCGTGATATTTTCTTTTCTTTTGTGATGATTTTCTTTGTCAAAAGGTTTCATTTTTATCTCTTTAAGAACAGGAATATAAAATATTTGATTTATTTATACAATTACACAATTATTTAGTGAATTTAAATGTAATAATTTTTTAAGTTTTTTTTTTTCCATATAAGACTCACAAGGAATTTTATACACAATTTATTTTACGTCCCATTTTTCACATGAAAGGTGAGACTTGTCAAAATACAAGCATGTCTTGTGACATTTCTTGATTTGCTAATTTTTTTCATATTTTTTATCATTTCTTTTCTCTTTCTCTTCTCTTAATTCGTAATTGATTTCTGGTTGATGCAAATTTATCCCATTTTGCATATTTTCTTTACATTGTTAAATAATAAAATAATAATAATAGTAATAATAATAATATTGTATAGTTCTTCTTGAAATTTAATTAAAAAATCACCGGTTAAAGAGACATTAGAAAAAATTAATGTCACTATATTTAATTAATATTCATTTTTCCTTTAAAACTAACCCCACATTTGCATTTTCATTTATATACCCAAAAAATTGTAACTATGAAATTGGTTTTCTTACGAGAAAATAAACACATTTTTCACATGACATGCTTTCATGTTCTCAAACAATACATTTGAATGATTTCACACACCAAAATGTACAGTTGCGTGGCTCAATGATACATTAATTTTTGAGTACTGATTTCTACACAAAATTCATTTGAATTGTAAGTTGTTTTTTGAGATCGACTTATTATTGTGGCATGAACAATGTTTTGGTATTTTCTTTTTAACGGTTTATTGTGAGTTTAAATTTTAACTAGGAACTAAAAGGTTTTGAAATTTAAAATCATATTATTTTGAAAGGATTTAAACCTTGGCAGTTATGAGTGTAGATTAAAGGAGTTTCATGCTCTAAATTCAATTAAATGGTACAAATGACATAAGAAATAAGAGATCACACGATCTGTCATCGAAATCGCAAGGACAATAATACAATCATCTCTTCTACTATCAACGAGAAGAGAGGAAAAAAATTGATAAGACTTAAAATGAAATATTCTTCCAACTTTGAGCGCGTGTAAAGTGTAAAAAAATCGCGTCACGAGAGCCACAATGTTACCGAATGATTGCATGAAATTATACAAATGTATTGACTGACACATGAAGTAAGAAAAAAATTCACAAAAGTTATTTTTTTTTTCTTTAAAGAAAAAATAAGAATTAATTGTCATTGAGGCAAACTTAATGACAATAGCACACAAAGTTCTCATTCGTTCACATTCAAAAAAAGAGATTTTTTTTAAAGAGGCTACATGGGCAATATTATACTTATTTACACAACATATAAAATTTTCATCAATTTTCTTCTTTTTTATCAAATGAAAAAATGTGTTTTAAGATGATCTACTTTAACTTCTCGAATGCATCCGTAGAGATATCGACTGTGAGATTTCTTAAATGCACTCAAAAAAATTCTTTGTGAAAATAAATTTTTTGCTATCAATTTTTTTTTTTTGTATCCAATTGTTCTTATCATGCATTATATTTTTGTTTCTTCTTAAAACAGTAATTTCCATTCATACACTCACACTCGAAATCTGTTTGTCTTATACACCATCATCATGATCATTTATCTCATATTCTGTTTTTTTTTCGTACACACGTCAATTTATTGTAAATCTTGTAGAATTGTTACTGCGGCAATAATCACTGCATCACTGCGGCACTAATGGACTTTTCTTATCTTCTGCTGGTGCTTGTGAATTATTTTGGGGATTCATTCCACTTCCGCCGCCTCTATCGACCCATGAATTTGCATTCGATAACGGTGATTCAGCATGTCCAAATCCATGATTATCATGATCCAGTGAATTGGTTCCATCATATTGTGTATTCTCTAATCGCGTTATTAGGCGCTCATCCTCATCACCAAATTCACCTCCCATCAGCGAAGGCTCACCCACCACCATAACATCCTGAAATGAGAACAAAATCATTTTTATGTTAACGGATTCTCGTGTTCTGAATTGAGGCTGATGAATGCATAATTAATTTTCTTTCTTCCTTTCTTTTTTTATATGCTGAAAGTTCTATTATCTCTCAAAGTCTCTTTTTTCTTTCCTTTAAGCTTCCGTTCAAGGAATGCAACAAGCAAGAAATCATCATTAATTTATAGGGTACAATTCGATACATGAACAGAGTATTAAATAAAATTGATGAAAAAGAGATTAATCTTCAATTGAAACTTTCAGCAAGTGAGAAAGAATCTTTTAATATGGTAACATTAACAACTACCTGCGATGCTAATGAAAAGTTTGGTCCTGGTGATCTCTTCTTATTTGGAACTGGTGGCGTTGAATTCGCAACTGCTCCACTCGATCCTTTTCTTTTCCGACGCTTATTCGACGGCCTTTGAGCATCTTTAATAGAATTTTCTTAATTTTAGAATTGTGTGTTTTAGCATTTTTTTTGAGGAAGTCGTTTAATTTTGTAAAATAAAACACAGCAAAAATAAATTAAGCAGCATTATTTGGTGCATATTATAGTTGGAGGCATAAGGAATGTTGTGGAAAGAAAAAAAAAATAAAAAATGAAAAAAAAAAACATAAATTATAACAAAAACCAAAACAGTCAAATTAATAAAATTTTAATTATGGAGTGGTAAGTAGTTGGATGCATAAAAATTGGGGCAGAAAAAAGAGAAAGAAAAAAACAGAAGGATGAAAAAAATGTTAATAATTTATAATTGGGAAGTTAGTTCCTTCGCATCGCTGACTTCTGTTTTGTTTATATAGAAAAAGGTACCTCTCTTACCGGGCGGTGCTACCATGCGCTGCCATTTCTGGAACAGTGTTGTTTTCAAGCAATCACGTGGACTTAGCGAGTATGCTTTGTGCCGTGACATTAGCTCTTGCATAGGTTCGAGAATCACGCATAACTATAAATTATTATGAGAATGAATTTAAGGAATAGAGGAAGAACAATAAAGGAAAAACCAATTAATAAGAGATTGATATGTTCGTTGTGGTGATGGATGCTTATTTATGATAAAATTAAAATCCTCATGCTTGAGCAATTTCTTTGAATTTTTCTCTTCAATGCAATCAATACATTAACTCTGTGCTCTATAATTGAACGATATTCTAGGAAAATTAATTAATTATTCAATCCAGGAAAATTCATTTGAAGATTTCCGAGAATTTCAATGCTCAATTGTGTCATTGAAAAGCTTAAAATTATATCAAGCTGCATATTGTAATCAGATTTGAATATTCTGTATGAGAGAATCATAATCGAATAGAGAACAAGACCAAGCTGTTCTGTTTGTTTCCTATTAAGATCATTTCAAAGTTATATTTAATAAAATAATTAAGAGGAGATTGAGCAGAGGAAGTCATAAAAAATGCATCCATCACTAGAAGTTCATCAATATACTACGTAGTGAATAAATTGGATCAGATCACACACTCACGCGAAGATAATTTAATGTAAAATTGGTAATGCCCTGTCGTGTAATATTTTTCGAGAGTTGTTCTAGCATCCCTGGATCAGAATTTGATGCTGGATGTATGTGCATGCCTACTATGTTACGTGGCAATAGCTCGCGATGCGCTCGTACAGCCATGTGCCAAGTTTTTATTCGCATGAGATCGTCAAATGTAAACTCTAATACCAAACGTCCTTCGGTGCATACCTACAAATAAATTGAAGTTTATCTTTAATAATCTCTGACTTTTTATTTCGCCAACAACTCTCATTTACTTACTTTTGTGTAAATTGGTTTTGTATGATGAGTTACCATCGTGCATTGTTCACAATCTAATGTTATTGACGTATTATGAAAGCTCTCTTTTGAGTGTTTTAAATTATAATAAAGTTCGGTGACACCTCCTTCAAAAATACTTCTAAAGTAGCGCGGTATTAAAGTTCGACCAATTGCTAAGACACAGGGAGAAAAAATTAAAATAATAAGTAAGACTAAAGTTGAAGTAAAACTTGATAAGAGAATGCATACTGTATCTTTTAGGACCATCTTCAAGACAAAATGTTAATGTTAATTGTGCATCGTCCTCGAAGAATTCATTTGCGAACGAGTCCCACCAACAATTGTCACTTTCCTGTTGATTAAGAAATGTATAAATTTCTATTAAGAATCTGGACAGATATACAAAATAGCCGATGAGGTACTCACTTCTGTTCTTTGTTGTAGTCGTTTGTTGAGCTCATATATTCTATAGTCAGGTTGACCAAAATAAGAATGCCTTCTCCCTACATTTAGTCCGCTAGAAATGTGAAACCTTTGTTTGTTATAAATGAATAATAATAAAGGATTTCTTGTGTGTTTTTATGCACAATTACTAAGAGATTCAAGCACTATTTTACCTTGGATCGAGTCTATCTGGTCCACTCATCATATGATGTCCTGGACCACCTAATGAATTACCCATTGGATGTCCTTGATGACCTCCTGGTCCGTGAAATGATGCTGATGGTGCCATTGGAGGAAATGGAGGTCCCCCAACGAAATTATTAGGACCAGGACCGAATTGTGGACCAAAAGCTGGACCTGAACTTCCAGGTCGACCGAATTGTGGTCCATTACTTGAAGGAGAACCAAATCCACTGCTTGCAGGTCCATTAAATGGGGGTCCTTGTGAATTTTGTTGAGGTGGAGGTGGAAATCCTGATGAATTAGGTGGCCCGGGAGTTGAAGATCCTGATGGAGCTGGTGATGCTGTATATTGTGGCGTGTTTGAGCCAGGTGGAGGTCCTTGGAAATTATTTGGCATATTTCCTGCTGGAGAGCCTTGATTTGATTGTGGAAATACTGGTCCTCCACCAAAACTATTTGAATTTTGTGCATCATTCCCCTGACCATTACCTTTCCAATTATTCCCAGGCTCATCCATGCTAAGTGGCGGACCCGAAGTCACGCCACGCCGTGATATACCTGCAATAGTAATACAATTATTATTATTATTATTTTTGAGTACGAAGGCAATACTCGAGTATGACAAGCTATTGAAGTCACAATAATTTTTTTAAAAAATGAAGAATAAGAAGTACAAATTGTAAAATTTTATGATCGTACCTAACATATTTCCAGTATTCTGAATTTTTGCTTTTTTTGTACGCTTTTCACTAATTTTTATAACTTTTTACACGACTGTCTCACTCACAAAAATTCTGTGTATATTTTGCGTTTATCGTTGCTTGAAAAAGGATGTCGTCCTTTCTCAATGCTGCCGTTCTGAGAAGGTTTAAAAAAATACTATATATTATTATGCTTTAATTAATAGGAATGTAAAGTTTACTAACTTCTTTGAAACTTTCTCAATCACATCTAAAATAATATGGAACAACAAGTGAACATGTCCATCACATCCTTTTGATTATTATTATTTTTTTTTCACAATATTCTACACTACTATATAGATTCTATGTTATAAGGTGAGTCCTTCTTACTCCTCAATACAGTAATAAATATCTTAACTAGTTCTTTACACTATAATTATGTATCCTTATGCTCCGTTTTTTTAAATATGCTCAATATTGTTTAATTAATTTAAAGAAATAATATGTAGAGTATAGCTAATAAATGTTGAAAGATTCAGCCGAAAAAAAAAGATTCGATTTAACTCTTTTTTTTATTGGCTCGCTCGCGGTATCAAAATTTTTCCTTTCCTCTCATCCAATTTATCTCATACATTTATGCTCATTTCCATTAAATTATTTCACTTCTTTACATCACAATGCCTTTTCAAGTCATTTCAGTAGGGTTTATGGTGAATAAATGTAATTTTTTATTTGACTTTTCACGAAAAATGAAAAAAAGTTGTTTTAATTGCTCTGACCAATTTATTTTTTCTCAGTCAAATTTTCACGATTTTTATGCGTTCCAGTGATTTATGATGGGCTTTTTATGTGCTCTCTAGCCTAAAGTTGTGAATTGTGATGAATTGATTTATTTAATGACACTTAAAACTACGAAAAATTTAATAAGTTTTTTCCTGTTGACTGGATATACTAAACGCGATAGACGCAGAATGTACTAAACATTATGTGAGAATAAAACATGGCTGCATATAGGGGGATTACTGATTCATGAACTAGCTCTTTTCTATGTTTTATGTACCATTTTATCATTGGATTTGAAATTATCATCTCCCTACTTATTACTTTTAGTACACAATACAAGCTCAAACAGTAAGTTTGTTTTCATCTTTTATCGTACAGATTCTATATTATTTTGGAACTGCCATAATCATCTTGTGTCGTTAACAAAAGTCGGTTTGTTTATGTTTGAAATTGGAATAAACTTATTTTGTAAAAAATGCAAAATTCAGCACAGGAGTTTTGTTCATTTTGCTTAAAATCAAGGAATGAAGTCGATATTATAGACACAACAAAAAATTCACTGCTAATAGACAACAAGTGCTATGAGTTTTCGTACATTTTCAATGATTTACTTCAATTTACTGTAAGATATTTCTTTTCTTGGTTCCTATAATTTACATCTTCTTTAATATTGTGCAAGTCGAAAAGTGATGTGTTTATATAAGCCTCAGATTTTATTCACTGGATCTCTCTTCATGCTCAAAAACTATTCAATTGTTTTCAAATTTAAAAACAATTGAATAGTTTTTTATTCAAATGAAAATTTTCCGTTGATTCATTAATTTAATAATTTTATTTGTAGAGCTCTGATGAGTGTATATGCGAAATGTGTAAAGATTTGATGGTCAGCTTTTATCTGTTCAAGAGAAACATAAAATTTCCACATAATCACATCTTTAGAATGCTGATAAAAAATCAAATTGAAGAGTACCTGAATACTTTCGTTGATAATATAGAAGATATAAAGGTAATAAGGACGGTTAATGCTATAACATTGGAAATACAGCAAAATGAAATTAAGATTGAGAACAAACCTGACATAAGCGAAGAAGTGGAGGAACAAGAATACGAAGAAAATGCAACAACTGAGGAAATGGGATATGAAACATTAATTAATTACCACTGCCCTAAATGTGAAACAATTGAGCCCACCGAAAATGATTCTGAAATTCACGAGTTTTTAAGGCATTCAACCTTTGGAGCTCAACTGGAGGTTGAAATTGAAAACTCGAAAGTATACAGTGAATCGACAGACATCGAGGATACGTTTTATGTCTGCGGATTTTGTACCTCACACCTTGAAAGTTTTGATTTATTGCTGCTCCACTTGTTGAATGTCCACAACCCAGAAGTTTTGTTTCAAATAAATGAAGCATTGAACATTCCATCACATCTTATCGAATTCCCAACAATTAACGGTTATCTTAATTATATTAAAGAATGTCTACATCACGATAATAAAATGACAAACTCAGTCGATTATGAACTCAAAAAATATTTTTATGAAGTCTATGGAGAAATGGATGAGATGAGTAATGCTTCAGAAAAGGATATGCAGGAACAAGAGATTGAAATTAGTGAAATGAATGGAGCAATTACTGAATATGATGACAATAAAATTAAGAAGGATAAGCAGGAGAAGTTAACCGAAGACTTGAGTTTAAATGATAAAGAATGGGTACGGAATCAAATCACGAAAAGCAAGCGTTATGTTAATACAGAAACTGGTGAAAAACGAGTCGTTTATCAATGTGATTTATCAGATTCTTGCAGGCATATCTCAAATTCAGCACCTGGACTTCGATATCATTTAATTAATAAACATTTGAAACATAGAAAAGAGTTTGAGGATCGAAAACGCCGTGACTCTAATGAGCTTATTGAAACATACCCATACATTACCAAAAATTCTAGTAAAAATTGCTGCAATGACTGTGGTTTAAAGTTCAAAGATCAACGTGCTTATCAGTTACACGAACGGTGCCATGAACTTTTCAAAACCGTCGCTAATCATTCAGATTCAATATTTCCTTCCTGCAATACATGCAATCAAAAATTTTTAAATGAAGATCTCTTACAGCACCATTTGAATAAGCATGATAAGAATGAAAACTTATCGGAAGCTATTGAAACAGAAATTGGTGCAATTAGACAGCAAGGAAAAATCTTTACTAATTTTATTCGATCTGATGGAGAGACAGGCCTGACAGATTATACATGGAAATGTGGACATTGTGACAGTAAGAATTTTTCGAAGGAAGAAAATTGCAATCTGCATCTACTTTTAGTTCATACAGTGTCATTTGTATGTCCAATTGATAAAATGGAATTTAAAGGCTTCAAATCAGTTTCACTTTTTATTCATCATTTGAGAAATAAGCACTCAGAATTATTCCCTAATTTATCATTTAATTGCACGTTCTGTCAAAGGGAATTCCCAACAATTTATGATAAATTAAATCACATGAAAAATTGTGATCGTAAGAACTTACAGTGTGATCATTGTGGCAAGAGGTTCTGGAAAAAAGGAGACTTGTTGACACATTTAAAGTACGTGACTGGCGAGGTACAATTCAAATGCTCTGTCTGTACCAAAAAATGCATCTCGGCTAGCGACTTGAGTATTCATCTTCGATCTCACAGTAAAATTAAGCCATACAAGTAAGTGTATTTGTATTGTATCGTATTATTACTATTATTATTTTGAGGTCGTTTACCAAAAGCCACACAGAGATTTTTCTCTTTCTAAAAATGAATGTTGAATATTCAACGTGGTTATGTAAATGCTGCTAATGAGAAAAATTTCATGCAACACTGGATCTACAAAATACAGTTTTTGAGCAAATTTTTTACGATTGTCGTCAAGCCTTCTCAAGGTTAACTCCGTTCATTTCAAATTTAATCACATACATATTCCAAATACTTAATAAGGATCAGAGCTGCGAAACAGGCACCTGTGACAGGTGAGAACCCTACAATTCCTTGATAATTTATAAGGTTTTTCTAACAAAACCATACAAATTATCAAGGAATTGAAAGGTTCTCACCTGTCACAGGTGACCTGTTTCGCAACTCTGATAAGGATGCTTAAAAACCCGGTCACCCATCCTTGTTGAAAAACCTTTTGCATTCGTTGAATGAGAATATTATTTGAGTTTGTTCACTTATTTGCTCACTTTTCTGAGCATGCTCTTTGTATGTTCGGATGCATTTGTAAGGTAGCCTGGAATTGTGAACGGTCTTTAAATAGCTATAATAGTTAATTACGAAGAAAAAGCATTTGTAATGTTTTGATAATGAAAACATTTGTACAGTTTTCAACTACTATAGAATTTGTATGGTTCTAATAATGCTAGTTTAAAATTTATACAGTTCTGAAGAGCTTTTTGAAACAATTGAACAGTTTTGAAGCACCTAAAACGATATTGTGACATTTTTTTTTCATTTTTTTAACCCTCTTCTAGATGCTCACTATGTACAAAAAGCTTCCGTACTTTGGCAGCAAGAGCCGCACATGTAGATGCACACAACGCGAATTTGATGTTTTCATGCGAGATCTGTAAAAAATCATTTAAGCAACGACAACTTTATCGTCGACATATGAAGGCACATGAAAGTAAAGGTGACATAAGTAGATAAAAAAATATAAAAAAGTCATGAGTTTTGCTGCAATATTTCACTATATATTTATTATTGATTTAACTTCAAAAAACTCAATAAAAAAATCACAAAAAATTATCAAAAACAAAAAATTCAACTGCTTGTTTTAATCTAAATATTATATAAATGTGTAAATGAAAAGCGGGGAAACGATTAAAGAAATAAATTTCCTCGTTTTGAAATTTTAGGATGAAATTCATAAAAATAGAGAATATAGGTTTGTTGATCAAGAAAAGAAAAAATATATGGATAAAGTTGTTGTATTTAATTTACTACAGCACTTCGCTTATCGCGATTTCTTCCTCGCGTCAATGTTCGTGCCTTAAAACTTGCAGCTTGAATAGCTTTCTTCTCAGATTTACTAAGTTTTGCATTGGATATCTGTGTTGAATCCAATCGTTCGCCCATACTGAACACATCACGTAATAAATCGTTTTCAAAAAGATGGAAATTCATGCCAGATCCGAGTGCATTACAAATTGAGTTGTATTGATGATGAAGGGTCCAAGAATCTATTGTAAGAGTGTCCTTGGTAATTCCGGCTCCAACTTGTATTTGAATATCTGGAAAGACTTCTTCTTCGATGTAATGTAAGACGTCTCTGAATGTGGCTCTTTGTTGCTTGCGATCACGTTTTGCTCGGAATTTCTGTGAGTCTGTTGACAATTGCTTTGTGACTTCAACTAAATCATCAATATATTCTTCAAGGAAATCTTCATCATGAATGCGTCCACATTCTAATAACAATGCAATTGCTTCTCCTGCTGTTGTTCTTACATCCAAATGCTGTGACTTTAATAATCCCATGATATTTTTGAATGAACCAATTTGTTTTGTTTGAATAAGTGAGACAATATCAGATGGAGATATAAGTGTTAATAAAAGTGCCCAAGATCCTAATGCTGCGGCATGTAAACTGGCTATGTCTTGTGTTGCTGCACTTGGTGAACTATCTCCTTTTAAATAACTTTCCGAGAAAATTCCTTCAAACGTTTGACATAAAGGAATTGTATCTCTGACACTGTCTTCTCCACTCAAAAATTGCATTAGTGCCAGTGACAAGCAACTCTTTGAACGTGCTTCTGATGTTGTTGATTTGTCGAGAACAATATGGGTTAATAAAGGAGTTAAAGTTTTTGCGATATCTTCATCGCCTTGCAATTGTATCAACAAAAGAGCAGCCAATCTTGCTGCAATTGCTTGTTCTTGACCCTTTCCACGTTTTAATGACTTCTCAATTATATCCAGGACTGTAACTCTTCGTTCATCCAGAAAGTCATACAAACAATTATGCATAAATATTTCAGACATGGATTGTAATGCTGCTGTACGAGTCTGTTGTGATTTTTCTGATGCATTTTCAATAGCTTGCATCAGCTTGTCTTCATATTTGTCGATCGAATTCTCTGGGACGTCCTCAACACTCTCACCTGGATTGTGATCAGATTGATAGGAATAAACTGATGCAGCATCATTTGAATTATCTTCATCGGACAAGTCATTTGCGACTTGATGATGTGCTGAATAAAGGAAGAGAAAAGAATTTTGTGAATCATCGGTTCATGTCGTGGGAAACCTTAAAAAACGTAATGTTATGAAATTTCTGTGTATAGGGAACTAGTGACGTAATACATTCGCTGATAAGAAACATATTTGTGGGGAGAAGAAAACAGAATATTGAGAATTAAAAGGCGAGACGAGAAAAATAAAGAAGAAATAAAAGTGAAAACGTGGATTGATGAAAATAAAACTCGCTCCATTTCACTTTCGCACACACTTAGTTCCTCTTTAGCATATTTTTATAATTTTAGTTCATAAGGTGCACTTTGGTCATTAAACTGTCTGCTCTTAACATATATACACTTAACATATATACAGGCTTAAAGATCAGATCAACTTAAATTTTACCATACAGGTAGCTTCTTTACAAAAACTTTATATTTTATAACTTTAGCATTCCATGAAATTTGGCAGGTAGGTTCTCAAGCTATGCCTAAATATAAAACTGATGCCATCTTGGATTTTAGAGTGGGATACAGCTTTTATCGCTGAATTTGAAGTATTTCAGGAAGTAAAGCTCCTTATTTATATTAAGGCACTACTGGATGGAAAATGCGCTTCTATGCTGCATTTATGCGGATATTTTCTCCTACATTTTTCAACCTTTGTCACGTTTTATCAAAATGAAAACTTACCTTTGGATTTTCTGTTATTTTTCGGCATTTTAACTTAACAATTCACACTAATTTACGCACAATAGATAATGAAATATATATAGATTGACTAAAGATCGCTTATAACACCACTAAATAATTTAATTTAACTTTTTTCTATTCTTTGTCCTTCACAAACTTTTATAATGATCATAAATTTTTGCTATTAGCTTTTATAGTCTCTTCATTCACTTGAATTTCGTAATAATGCAATGTTGCTTGTATTTCATAAGATGATTTAAAAATATATGCTGAGTTTAAACGCATTACTTTAATTATTTTTAATATTTTTCACTTCGATGAAAAATACGAATTCGAAATTAAAGAGGTTTTATAAAATAGATGCAGGGTTATAAGTCCAGAAACTATAAGTCCAGAGATTATAAGTCCAGAAAAATATATCTGGACTTATAATCGCACTGCGAGATTATAAGTAAAATTTATAAATTTTCTGGAATTATAAACTTCACGAGAGGTTTTTAAGTCCAGGTACATTTTATATCTGGACTTATAAACCTTACTTGTGGTTTATAATTCCAGAAAATTTATAAATTTTACTTATAATCTCCCAGTGCGATTATAAGTCCAGATTTATTTTTCTGGACTTATAATCCTTGAAAATTATTTGAAATTATTTCAAATTTTTATATTCACACCGTTTTGTTCAGATTGAAAAATCAGTTTTTCGCATTTTGTGAGGATATCTACTGAGAATTATATTTTATATATATATATATTTTGCGGCATTGCTGAGAAAATCGCAAAATACGCTTTCTGCACATGCAGTTTATAATCTGTATATATAAATGTATTTAGAAGTTATAATCTATACGTGCAGTTTTTAAAACCTATACACAAATGTATATAGAGATTAAAAACTCTAGATGCAGAAAATTTAGGTTTTAAAAATTTGAAATGTTTAAAGGTAAAAAACTTAAGGTGTTTTGTACGGTCATCGAAAATTTTCATACAAAATTTGGTCATGCACAATTTTTTTTGATAAACTTCTAAAAACTTTTAATTAAAAAAATCATGATCGCAAATATCTCGAAGACGGCAATAAATGGCATGTCCACACCAATTAGAAGATAGATTTAAACTTAATCAATCGATTTATATAGGTCTCTGTAAGACTTTTTAAGTGGGCCCCGACGAAAAAAAATTATTCGTGAGTGACGCTTTAAATCTTAAATATCTCCGAAACCACAATAGTGACAAATTTCAAAGTTATTTTATCTTGTTGGAAACAAAAATTTCTATCTTTTGACATACAACTTACTTCCTAAAATTAAGCAGTTATGTCGGAAAATCACTTTAACTAGGCGTCACTCACGAATAATTTTTGGGAATTTGGCCATGACTTTGTCAGTTTTCATTGATATATCTTCAAATGTATTTTTTTAGATCAGAAATTTTATTCTCTTTTGTTTGGTTTCAAAAAAAGGAATAAATTGTCCCCGAAACAGGCTTAAATGAACAAAATTAAGTTTAAACTAGTGTATCGGGTAGAAACCCAATGCGGATATATTCACACCGTACCATCAAAAGTCTTATGGATAGACCAAGATTTGCTTAGCATAAGTTTGAAGGTATAAAGCTAGCGAGTCAGCTGAGCTTCTCTCAGCATATGTTTGAAGGTTTAAAGCTTAACGAACATTTTTGAAAGATTTATAAAATTTTTTTTCATCCAAAGTTGAATTTTATAAAAATCACAGTGAACTTTTGTTTTTAAAAAAAATCGTAAGAAACGAAAGTTATTTGCTATTTCTGAAGCAACGGTTGTTCCTACCTTGCCCAAAAACAATACAGCTCTTCTATAGAGCAGCACGGATCAAATGTAAAAAACTAGAAGTCTCTACGATGTCTCGTTATTGTGATTTCTTGCTGATTAATTTGCTTGCTTGTTTGCTTGCTTACAGGAAGCGTATTTTGCGATTTTCTAAGCAATGCCTCAACCAACTACAAATCTGTTTTTTGCAGAAGATGTGAAATTCCAGGCAAAAACTTTTCATCCCTGAACATTTAAAGATAATTTGCTTCATATCCTCACAAAATGCGAAAAACTGATTTTTCAATCTGAACAAAACGGTGTGAATATAAAAATTTGAAATAATTTCAAATAATTTTCAAGGATTATAAGTCCAGAAAAATATATCTGGACTTATAATCTCACTGGGAGTTTATAAGTAAAATTTATAAATTTTCTGGAATTATAAACCACACGTAAGGTTTTTAAGTCCAGGTACATTTTATATCTGGACTTATAAACCTTTAGTCACTTTGATTTTCTGGACTTATAATTTTCTGTGCACGATTTTTGTACCTGGACTTATAATCTCTGGACTTATAACCCAGCATCTTAAAAATACAGTTTCAACTGTAGATTTTGATCACAAACCTTTCTGAACATTGAAATTTAAAATATTTTTCGACAGTTATTTTAAAATACTTCTAGCGAAGCTGTGGATACCGAATCAGTTTTACACTAGGAATAAATAATTATAAAGTTCCTAGAGTAATACATGTTTCACACTTTCATCCTTGTCAAACATAGCTCATTACATGCCAAATTTTACCGTTATGTTTAAATTTAAAATTACTCACCCCTCTCAAATACTATCACATAAATTTTACACATAAATCCGCGAAGGAATAACATAAAATTAATTAAATACACGATTATCCTATAAGAATTGAGTGATTATTACCATTAATTAAGTGATGGCTGAAGAAAAGTTGTCTAAAAAGTAAGGAAATGAGGAAAATTATATGATCGTGAAAAGTAAAACGTGTAAAATTGCAAAAGTGGAATTTTATACTATAATTAATATTTATTAAACCAAGATGTATACAATTTTCCACACAATCCGTAAAGCTACACCACTTTTAAGACATTACGAGAATTATCAGCAATTGAGAAACATTAGAATAGTAGCTACTGGATTATGTGGGAAAAGGTTAGCTAGGCATCATATAAGTGATGATGATGCATCATATTGATGATGAAACATTCTGCCATGTATTACAAATATTCTGTTTTATCTGATTATTTAAAGTGAGTTGAAGCGTCGTATGAAGGCTGCACAAAAGGAGAAGGAAAAGTCCGAAAAAGATGCACAAAAGGCAGCGACCGTAACAGCTGATGATCAGTCAAATACCAAAAAGGAGAATAAGATTGATGAATCTGAGATTTCACCAAATGAATATTTTAAGCTGAGATCAGCGGCAGTTAATGAATTAAAGAAATCTGATGTTAATCATCCATATCCACACAAGTTTCATGTATCATCGTCACTTGAAGATTTCATTTCAAAATACAATTCATTAAAGGATGGAGAAATGCTTGAAAATGAAAGCCTTAGTGTTGCTGGTCGTGTTCATGCAATCAGAGAATCGGGTGCTAAATTGATATTTTATGATGTTCGTGGGGAGGGTGTTAAAATCCAAGTTATGGCTAATGCTAAACTTTATTCATCTGAAGAAGCTTTTACTGCCGATACAGACAAGATTCGTCGTGGTGATATCGTTGGAATTGATGGATATCCTGGAAAAACTAAGAAGGGAGAATTATCAGTCATACCAAGAAATGTAAGTTACACCTGTTAAATTGTCCTAAGATTACCTATGCTAATTCTGATATATTTGCAGATTAAACTTTTATCTCCATGTCTTCATATGCTGCCTCATTTACATTTTGGCTTAAAGGATAAGGAAACTCGCTTTCGTCAACGCTATTTAGACTTGATTATCAACAGTAGAGTTCGTGAAATTTTCCAAGTTCGTTCAAAAATTATATCCTATATTCGACAATTCTTTGATAAAATGGGCTTTTTGGAAGTTGAAACTCCAATGATGAATATGATACCAGGAGGAGCAACAGCAAAACCTTTTGTGACACATCACAATGACCTTAATATGGATTTATATATGCGTATTGCTCCCGAATTATACCTAAAGATGTTGGTTGTTGGAGGACTCGATCGTGTTTATGAAATTGGTCGGCTTTTCAGAAATGAAGGCATTGATTTGACACATAATCCTGAATTTACAACATGTGAATTTTATATGGCTTATGCTGATTATAGTGACTTAATTGAAATTACAGAAAAACTTTTGTCTGGAATGGTCAAGTCAATTCATGGATCATATAAAATTAAATATCATCCAAATGGTGAGGATGGCGAGGAAGTAGAAGTTGATTTTACTCCACCATTCAGGAGAATCCCAATGTTGAAGACTCTCGAATCAATTTTGAAAGTCAAATTTCCACCAGCAACAGAACTTCATACAAAAGAAACTAATGATTTCTTTAATCAACTCTGTATTAAACATCAAGTCGAATGTCCATCACCTAGGACTACAGCTCGTTTATTAGATAAATTAGTTGGTGAATTTTTAGAAGAAGATTGCATTAATCCAACATTCATCACTGATCATCCACAATTGATGTCGCCATTGGCTAAATATCATCGTACTGAACCTGGCTTAACAGAACGCTTTGAATTGTTTGTTATGAAAAAGGAAGTATGTAATGCTTACACTGAATTGAATGATCCATTTGTCCAACGTGAACGATTTACACAGCAAGCATCTGACAAGGCTGCTGGTGACGATGAAGCTCAACTTGTTGATGAGAATTTCTGTATGAGTTTAGAGTATGGATTGCCACCAACTGGAGGTTGGGGTTTAGGAATCGATCGTCTAACCATGTTCCTTACTGATAACAATAATATCAAAGAAGTTTTGTTATTCCCAGCTATGAAGCCAGATTTAGGAATTTCATCTGAAGAAAAGGAAGCTGAAAAGGATGAAACGACAAAGAAATAAGCGAAACAATTTAGTTATTGCTGTTCTGAATTATTGAATAAAATGAAATAAAGCATTTCACTGAAATTTCTCTTCCAAATAGCTATTATCTTGAAGATTTTTGATGTCTATAGACAGTGCAGCTACATTGAACTTTATTTTAATGACTTACAGACATCACATCATTCCTAATGAATTTCATTCGCAGTTAAAAAAGTGGCGACACAAGATACCCCATTTGAGCTATTACCTGCTACTTTCTCAAATATTTTCCATTTTCAGTTTCTACTTAGCAAATAAATTAATAATTACCTGTTGATGCTACCTTTATTTAGGTCTTGCGACAATTTTTGTAGGTAGCGTAGACCTATTCAGTTGAACAAATCCACTTTTATGGATTCTTTCCTTTTATGAGTCATAGCCCCACAGTTCTCACATGCTCCAATAGCTGAATATTCTTTTAATTTTTCATCATGTGGTCTTGGATTCTTTAATGTTGGTTCAGCAGTTTTATAATACGAATCTGTTGAGGATGGGGATCAACAGTAAAGCTTTGAGTACTGATGACTCAGAATAATAAAATATACGAAGTACGTTTGGTAAGACTTCGGAGTGCACTGAAGCTTAATTAACAGTGTCAGTGCTTTTATTCAAATATACTTAAACAGAATCGAAATGTATTCCTGAATGTTAAGATTTATATCTCAGTATAAATAATTCCAAAAATTAACATTTTATTTACTGAAAATAATTTATTACCTTCTTCATCAACAGTAGCATGCATCTTTACCATCCTTTTTAGCATCAATTCTTCAATCACTCAAAAACATGTTTTTTTTTTTGAAAATGAAAAATGCCAAAAAAATTAACCCCCAGCAACCATTGAAGAATTCTTTCTTTAATTAAAATATTTCCAGACATAAACATTGTCAACAACAATTATTATCAAAAAATTGTCATCGATTCAAAAAAATCATCAAGGAACATCATTAACATCTGTGTCATCAAGCATTAAATCCAAGAAAGCTGTCATCGATTATTGTCAAGATTTTACATCAATAATATTTTTATCGATAATTGTCACTGATAGCGAGCTGTTACCAATTATTATCATTAGGAAGATGTCGTCTAATAATGGAATTGTCATGCGGTGGAAAATTCAAGGCCTGGACGATTTTGTGGAGGTAATCACACGTTTATTTCTGACCATAACCATTTCATCTCCGAATGCTCGCTCTATTCTCCATAATGTCGTCGATAAGTGAATCTTCTTAAAGATTTTTTTTAAGCTTATCTTCTATCCTCAAATAGATATCATACTCCTTTCTTGTGTGTTCTCAGCTCATGATCATTGCTAATCGGTTCTAAATACGATATGTATTCTCATTTCTCAGAAGATAAATCTTCTTTTTCAGTATAGACTTACACAGACTTACTACAGTCATTTTAATGCTTTGTTAGCTTTAGCTTCATAAACTTTCACTTTTTCTTGATTAATATTATGTTCTTTTCCAATGTCTTAGACAATTGAAGCATCTCCCAATTAGTACATAATTTATTTATTTTAAATATCCATTTACATCCAATTATCTTTCTCTCAATGGATAAATCTACAAGTTTCCAAGTATTATTTTCATGTATGGCTTGTTACTCCTCTTGCATTGCTTTAACCCAAAAATCATTTTCTTGAGAATACAAGTTTTATTAAATTTTTTTTTGGGATCTTTCATCTCACTTTTGTTTGCTACATGATTATCATCACTTGCGAGACAGTCCCAAACTCCTTTATTGTCTTTTCCCATTTTAGGAAAGCTTATTCGTGATAATTTTCTTTTGATGCATTCTTCACAAGTGTCACTTCATGTGCATTCGCTTATATTTAAACTGATTTAAACCTTTAAGTTTCAAATGTTTAATGTCGGGGAAATCACGATGGCATACAATTTTGTGGCATTCATGAATACAAGAATATCGCTCTTCCTTAATTTTATTACACAAATCAATTTCTTATTCAAGTGTTAAAGTCCAATTTTCATTTCGCAACAGAAATTCAGCCTTTTTCATTTTTATGAGTATCAAATCTTCTTCTTCTCCCTGATGATTAATTTATTTTCTTTCGCGTTTTCATGTTAACAATCTATAATAACGTATAGAATATACTGGTATTTATCGACAACCCACGATCATACTTTTCTATCATCTTTAACTTGACTGCTTGCAATATGAATTCGATCTCATCATTCGGATTCGTTTTTGACCTAACGCTTATACAAGCATTGATTCATAAAAATTAAATTATTCAACATTGTCACTCTGCATTGCTAATCTGAAGCAAAGGAACTGCTATGTTGAAAAATGCCCAAAAAAATTTTGTTCATGAGAAATTTCGTGCGAGATTTTCAAAAAAACTTTTTACTCTTTTCAGGAAACGAACCGGACTATTCAATTAAAATTCATGAGCTGTCTGTCACTCGAACTCACTCGTGATGAATTTCTGACATATGATCAAATATGTGAAGTGATTGTAAGTAAATTATACGTATCTTAATATTTTTGTTTGATCGTCTTAAAAATTTCCGTGACTCGCATGATAAACCATAAGTATTATTTACAAAGAACACATAATTTTTTATAGAAATCCCTCCAATTCCTTAGACTAATATGTCACCAATAAGGGAAAACGACATCAGTGACCTAAGTAATAAAACGTTGGTTTTAAGATTAAGAAGGCGTTTTTACCGTTCTAGTAACAAAGTTCGGTTCGTGTGTCGGGTGTAGTTTTCAGTTCTTTGGCAAATAACGTGTCTTCTTTGCTAGGTTTTTAAAGATATACTAATATCTGGACGACTTGATAGTGCCAACTTGCTCACAAACTGTGACTAAGTTCATTGCAGAGTACATGCAGGTTTTTGGACGTTCTCGTTTTTTTGGTACTATAAACTGTAGGTCTAAAGCAGTGTTGTCCAAACTTTTTACAGCCACGGCACACCTTTGACTACATATTTTTTCACGGCACATAGTTTGGAAAACACTGGGCTTAAGGTTGTGGTACAATAGACTTGCAATCGCAATGCCTTCAGCTTAAAAAGGGCTGAGCTCTTCAAGCATAATATATATGTGTCACTGATTATTAATGTTCTGCATATAATTTTATCATTACGATTTGAGTAGATTGGTGATATGCTTTTCATTGAAAGTCCACCAACTGTTCTCTGTACAATCAAGAGCTTTAACCCATTTTACTGATTTAAAACTTTCTGCTCCCGTCTTATGAAATCAGCAAATTTTTATTTATTTTTCAGCATTATTCACCTCCAACGCTTGCATTAAAATTTAGCAAATTACTGGACTTGTTTCATTATCATCCACACAATGTCAAAAAGGATTTGCTGGCACATTTTCAAGTTTGTTTGATGTTTTATGGCCAAAAAAATGCTTGCGAAGTAGAAAACCAGAGTCTTGAGGAACTGCCTGTGTTGAAAAATGAAATCAATTCTCTTTCGAAATGCTAAGAAAAGGTAAGAAATTTTTTTATTTGGCTAAGGCAAAGATTTTAAATTTGACTTAAAATTGGATTTAACTTTTCATTCATTTTTTACAAAGTTATTTAATTTGTGCAAGGATTTTTCATACAAATTTTGTCATAAATGTAAAATCGTCACCATTTTGGCTTTCAAGCGGTTGTAATTTAATTATAACTTAATTAAGCTGTTTCTTTGAATTTGTTTCTTTTTGATTTATAAGCTCAAAATTGACATTTGAAAATGCACTTCCGTTGGTCACGAGTCACCTATATGTACAAAGTTTCTATACATTTTGTTGATTTTGGTTTTTTAAGGATTCATTGAAAGGCATTCAATTTGCCTTTTGTCTCCTAATTTTTGGTTTTATTTACGGATTTTGCTTTATTTGGTTTTTAATTTGGGAATTTACCGTTTTACAAGACAAGACGACTGTTGAAGTTCGCTTGCAACTTTCCGACGTAGTCTTCGATGGACGGTATTTTCGCTTCTGTATGAAGATCGGTGATCCTTTTCATATCTTGTTTTATTGAGAACAATTCTCAAGACTTTGTTTTACAGTACTTAAAGTGGTCACGAGTCATCATCTTTATTAAAAAAACTCGGCCATTCTCTTCATTTAAAACTTTGGATACTGGTTTTATATTGATACATAAATAGATATTTCGCTGTATTTAAACCACACTTGAAACATTTTTAATGTTTAAATTCAATGATCTTAATAAAATCATATTTATTAATTGATTGTCATGTACCGCGTACCGAAGAATTCTTATTCTTCCGTTCGATGACAGCGGTAGAAAGCGACGCAATATAATCGTATGCAAAACACTATTTTTTAGCTTCCGCGTGGAACACGGAAGCTGTTTCTTTATGTCGTTCAAATTTTGTCACCCAACCTACAGGTCCACCGTATTTTCCAAAAGTAATGATTTATATTTCAAAATTTAGCCCTTGTCGTTTGGTAGGGCGGAAATTATGGCGCTTTGCATGAACTTTTTTTGAGACCGTAGTGCTTCATGGAAGATTTTCGCAAAATCTCCATGCAAATACTACATTAGCTTTAACTTTTTTTTAAGCCTTAAATCAAAAAATAGCTGGTACTTTAAATGTTTTACATCTTCTTAGGAATCGATTGATACCAAAATCACTGTTTTAGAGAACTATTAGATGAAACATTTTTTGTAATGTAGGGCCTTAAAAGACCTATCCAATTATACTAAACATGCCCCACTTCCATCAACACCTACGTAGATATAACGATTTCAAATTTTAATCCGATAAATTTATTTTAATCCTCCCAATATTCATTACGAAATCAAAAATGGTTTAAAATTTGTCACCCAACCTACAGCTCGCAACTCAAAATCAATCATATTGATATGTATATAAAGCTGTAAAAGTCTAGAAGCGCAGAAATTTAGGCGCTTTGCGTGAATCGTCTTAGTTCTCGAGATATAGTGAAAATAGTGTTTAATCTGGTGGATTATAAATAAATCCAATGGATTAAAAATTAAATCAGTAAAATCATTTAATTTTCAAATCCAATTTTTCCGTGTGATATTTTAAATTAAAG